CTTCTTTCTTTTCCTTCCTTCCTTCTTTCCTTCCTTCCTTCCTTTTGTCTTCTTTCTTTCTTTCCTTTCTTTCTTCCTTTCTTTTCATCTTTTTTTTTTTTTTTTTTTGATGGAGTCTCACTCTCACCCAGGCTGTAGTGCAATGGCACCATCTCGGCTCACTGCAACCTCTGTCTCCCAGGTTCAAGCGATTCTCCTGCCTCAGCCTCCAGAGTAGCTTGGATTACAGGCATGCGCCACCACACTCGGCTAATTTTTGTATTTTTAGTAGAGACAGGTTTCACCATGTTGGCCAGAGTGGTCTCGAACTCCTGACCTCAGGTGATCTGCCCGCCTCAACCTCCCAAAGTGCTGGGATTACAGGTATGAACCACCGCATCTGGCTTGATCAGCATTTTCAGTTGGGTTTTAAGTATCATCTTTCCAAAAACATTTTCCTGCTTTCAGCTTTCCTAACCCCATGAGCAGCTGGTTTTCCCTGTTCTTCAGACACACCTACCTTCAGGGTCTGATTGCTAGTATCCATTCTGTATCAGCTAAGAATAATAACCCTCACAACATTAACGCCTTTAAATGAAACCAGAAGTTTGTGCATGTTGCATGCAGAGTTTCTGAAAGCCTGTTCCAACTAAGAACTATCTTGTCAGCTCTTCTGGTCCCCCTGCAGCTCTTGAAGAGCCACCTGCGGCAATCTGCAAAAGTCTAAATGCTCTTGATTACCTGATCCTTCTTTACAGAGACACTCTGCCCCTTCAAGGAAACCATATCACAGAGGCTAACCCTGACTCTGCAGATCTGGGATGGAGAATAGTAAGCAAGCCATGACTGCATATGGCACCCTAGTAATTGAAACAACATCGAAAGGTTTTTATATTGATTCTACTGCTTCAGGCAGTGTTTATCTCACAGTACCACACACAGATTGCTTATCAATCTCTCCATTGCTTTAATGTTTTCTCCAGGGAAAAATTCTGTGCTGAACTTGCTAATGATGAATGTAATAATGATAGGGCTGTTACTTTAGAAGAAGAAAGTTGGCTTGATAGGTAAAATCCCATGAGAATGAAAATTATGATAAAGTAGAAAACTTGTTTCTCACTAGCAAAAAAGAAAGAGAAATACACAGTCATGATGAATCAGATCTAATTGGTCAATATTTAATAAGCAAAAATCATTGCACCTTGGCAGCAGTGTTATATTTATTTATCTAGTGTGTAGAATGTACCTAGAATTGTTCATGAAATTATCCCCTGAACAAGAGAGATCCAAGAGGTTCAACAAATATTTATGAAAAACCTACGTGTATCTCAGCCTGTACATCCAACATGGCCTGATAGTTTTTTTCTCTGGTTCTTTCATACTCCCATGTGGTGGGTTACAGAATAGAAAAAAAATAGACATACTACCCAAATCATACCACCTGGATAAATGAATAAGTAAGAAAAATGAGCTCATCCTCATCACTAAAGTTACAGTTGAATCTTTCCTTCCATGAAACTGTTTTGGTTACTCCATATTCTCAATCAAGGCATCAAAACAAAGGCTGATGGATGACAGGGATTGGCGCTCTGGATTTCAAAAATCTTAATAATGGCTGGGTGTGGTGGCTTATACCCCAGCACTTTGGGAGGCCAAGGGTGGATCACCTGAGGTCAGGAATTCAAGACCAGCCTGACCAACATGATGAAACCCCATCTCTACTAAAAATACAAAAGTTAGCCAAGCATGGCGGTGTGCACCTGTAGTCCCAGCAACACAGGAGGCTAAGGCACGAGAATTGCTTGAGCTTGGGAGACAGAGGCTGCAGTAAGCCGAGCTATTGTGCTACGGCACTCCAGCCTGGGCGACAGAGAGATACTCCATCTCAAAAAAAAAAAAGAAAACAACTCTTAATAATGATAGAAAAGAATTCCCTATCATTCAAGTTGATAGGATTTAAAGATGGTACTTCTTTTTCTGCCAGGCTAGGAGCATAAAACTCCAAGAAGCCAAAGAACACTTGTCAGAGCCTTTTGTCCTAATGTCTTTAGACCGTACCATGGAGCTAAGATTCCTGGATTTGAATTCTGATTGCTCCACAAATAAGGTCTTGTCTCTGACAATGTGACAAGTCACTTCCTCTCAATGGACTTTAGTTCCCTCAAATGTCAAACAACAAATTGGCCTAAGTCATTTCTAAGGCCCCACATGGCTCTCAGAGTCAGTAGTTTTATAAATTATCTGCTCTTGCCCTTAAGTGGTGGGACAGTCATCTTGGCCCAGGCTTAAGGGTACCTTGGGAGAGGACTCAGTCTTAGAAAAGAAGTTGGAATTGGGAAAGAAAATAGAGCATTTAGCAATAACTAAAGCTTGGTCCAAGATGAAATATTTTCTTAGGAGGGAAATAGAAGAATCAGTTGATAAGGCTGGACACTTGGTGACTGACCTATGAGGTACGGGGATAAGGGAACTCCCTTTGGATGGCAAACTGACCTTCTTTCTAGAAGGATTTATTGGCTTCATCAGACATAGGCTAGGATTCTCACGGGGTACATACTCCAATTTTATACAGTGGTATGCCTTCTAGGAAAATTAGAGACAGGCTGGGTGCAGTGGTTCACGTCTGTAATCTCAGCACTTTGGGAGACCAAGGTGGGAGGATCTCTTGAGCCCAAGAGTTTGAGACCAGCCAGGGCAACATAGTGGGAAGCTGTCTCTACAAAAAATTAAAATTAAAATTAAAAAAAGAGGAAAATCAGAGACAGTGATTCTACCATTTTCAATTTTTAAAATAAAGGTGAAATTCTTTACTTCAGAATCTAATTTTCTCTATTCTATTTCTTCCACTTTTTCCCTCTTGCCTCTTCCCTTGGGATCTTCCTCCAACAGAAGAGTGCATCCTTCGAACAAGCAAGGTTAGGCCTGCAGCTGAGCACTTCAAGACAGCTCTATTCATCACCTCCTCCGTGATGCTGGCGCTTCTGCTCGGGGCAGCTGTGGTCGTGTGGAAGAAATCTCGCGGCCGAGTCCAGCCAGCAGCAAAGGCCGGCTATGAAAAGCTGGCCGACCCCAACAAGTCTTACTCCTCCTATAAGAGCAGCTATGGAGAGAGCACCAGCTTTGAAGAGGATCAGGTGATTGAGTACAGGGATCGGGACTATGATGAGGATGACGATGATGACATCGTCTACATGGGCCAGGATGGCACAGTCTACCGGAAATTTAAGTATGGGCTGCTGGATGACGATGACGAAGATGAGCTGGAATACGATGACGAGAGTTACTCCTACTACCAGTAAACAGGCACCCCCCCACCACCACCATTCCACTCTCAGGCATGCCTGTGAGCATCGCTGTTTTTGGTTTTATCCCCACACCAGGCTGATGTGTGAGTGTTTCTATTTGTCTTCTTTAACCATGAATCCAACCAGAATATGTGAGAATGATGAAATACTTTGTTCTTTTGAGTGGCTAAACTCAATTAACAGTTCCTGTTCAACCGTAATTGAAGAGCAAGCATAAAATTCAGAGGAATTTTCCTCAAAATAATGTGTCAAGACACAAAAATGCAGGAAGTGAAAACAAATGAGATTTGTACAAACTCTTCTACGTGATTGAAAAAAAAAAAAAAAAAAGGACAGTAGATCTACAGAAATTCTGCTTCCAAGCTGCGTTGTGGAGGTGTCTGCTGCCTCCTGGTATCCTAACTTTTCTTTATCTAATTTTGGGGATAATGGAGGTACAAAGGAGTTGTTGGTTTGGTGGTGTTTTTCTCCCCTTTAGCTGTCTTTAGGCAGAGATTTGTTTTGTAAGGGCCAAGAAAAGAGAGCTCTTATCAATTGACTCCAGGCCACCCCTGGTGAGCAGAAGAGACCACCTGGGCTGGGCTGCTCAGGACCTACTTGAGATAAGGGAAGAAAAGAGAAGGTGCATCATAGCTGAGGAGCCATGAGGTCCCCAGGCCCTAGTTCCTCCACAGGAATCCACAGTCACAACGATTCTAAAGGCAGAACAAGCCCAGCGAAAAAGAAATCACTGAGTTTTCAGTAACTGCACCCTCATGATTTTCCGGGTACTTTTCGCCTAGGAGTCGCCTGGGATGTCATCAGCTAAGACATCAAATAATAAAAGAAAAATGGCAGTGTGAACCTAACATAAAATGGAATAAAATGACAAACACTTCATCTACTCTAAAAAATTCAGAGCTTTCCTTCGTCAACAACCCATCACAAAACCGTGGGCTCTCCATAGAAAGAGTTGGAATAGAGTCTAACGTGGAAAAAAAAAATCCCAATATGCTGCTCACAAGCTGTACTCTGGCTGCTGACCAGCCTTCCAGCACCGCTCATCACTATGATTTTTGTTTCTAGACTTCCTAGGCTTCCCTTTTTCCATTCTTCTGTCAAGTGTGTTCTTGGATTCATGTACCTGAGGACAGTTTTTCTCCAGATTGTAACACAGAGAGGGGCTCTGGCTATGCAAAATGATGTTGGCACGGTCTTACAGATTTCCTTGTCAAAGCAGACCTTATGGGCAGTACTAGGAATGGAGCACCAGAAAGCAAAAGTGACACTTTCAGAGAATGATGATAATTATAATCTATTGCACACCTACTACCAGATAACAAGCTAAGTAATTCCCCCCAAAAAATGCCCCACTTACGCATTTTGGTACTTAACCATACTCCCATGAGGTTGGTATGGTTATTATTCTGTTCTTGTAGGAAACCTAAGGCTTACTAGAGGTTAGATAACTAGCCCAAGGTCATGCAAAGCTCATCAAGATTCAAGAAAAAAGAATGACCACCCTAAAGCATGTGTTCTTGTAACTATGCTACTGACATAAGGTGGGAAAATAAGCATCCTAAATATAAAGGCAAGCCTATTATTTTAGTCTATGATATCAATTTTATCTTTACTAAATTCATGTATTTTCTTTTTTTAACATAATGTATGACTGACACAGAAAATCTTTATGAAGAAGTCTTCAGTTTACTAAAGGCTTGTGTTTCTTTAGAGGAAAGCTCTTAAAACAGGGCTGACAAACAGTCTCTGGAAAGAGGCAGCTAGTAAGTACATTAGGCTTTCTTGGCCAGAAAGTCTTGTGATAACCACTCAGCTTTGCTATTGTAGCATGAATGCAGCTGGTACATAATGGATGAGTGAACTGTGCTTCAATAGAACCTTATTTATGGACACTGAAATTAGAACTTCAGATAATTTTATTCTTCTTTTGATTTTTTTCAACCTTTTAAAAATTTAAAAATGCAAAAACTGTTCTTAATTAACAGCATTACAAGAACAGGTGGTGGGTCGGATTTGGCCAACAGGCTATACTTTGCTGACTTTATCTTTAAAACACTTTTCAGAGATCATACACATACATGTATGATATGCCTTCAAAATTTTTGATCATTTAAAATTATCTCCTTGGCCAGGCATGGTGGCTCATACCCGTAATCCCAGAACTTTTGGAGACTGAGGCAGGCAGATCACCTGAGGTCAGGAGTTCGAGACTAGCTTGGCCAACATGGTGAAACCCCATCTCTACTAAAAATACAATAAAAAGCTGGGCGTGTTGGTGCACACCTGTAATCCCAGCTACTCAGGAGGCTGAGGCAGGCGAATCACTTGAGCCCGGGAGGCAAAGGTTGCAGTGAGCTGAGATGGCACCAGTTCACTCCAGCCTGGGTGACAGAGCAAGACTCTGTCTCAAAAAAAATAGCTAAATAAATAAATAAATAAAATTATCTCCTTGCCAGGAGTGGTGGTTCGTGCCTGTAACCCCAGCACTTTGGGAGACTGAGGCAGGAGGATTGCTTGAGCCCAGGAGTTCGACATCAGCCTTGGGCAACATAGTGAGACCCCCATGTCTACAAATTTTAAAAGTTAGCCAGGCTTGGTGGCAAGTGCCTGTAGTCTCAGCTACTCAGGAGGCTGAGGTGGAAGGATCACTTGAACCCCGGAGGTCAACGCTGCAGTGACCTGTGATCTTGCTATTGCACTTCAGCCTGAGTGACAGAGCTAAGACCCTGTCTCAAAATAAATACATAACATTATCTCTTCAAAATGTATCTGAAGCCCTGATAGTTCTCCTTTCAATCCTTAGAAATATATAAAAATATATGCACGATAGCCATCATATCAATGGAAGACTTTCTCATCTCTGTAGTTGCAGTTAGCTTACAAAAACAAGCAATTTTGCTTATACTTTGTTGTTCATCTTCCATGATAATTCTAAAGCTCTGATAGACTGAGTTTGACATTTCTTTCTGTAAACTAGAAATTGTTTTCTATGAAAAAAAATCTGTGTTTATGATACACAGTTAAAGATTGGTTGAGGCTGAGATGAACTTCAATACTAAGAAAAATTGTGGTGTTCCTCTATGTGGCCTGCAATGAAAAGAAGGTTCATGCTTGTGTATTGAGGTTTGACATCTTTCCTTCTTTGTTTTTAGTCATGCAACGTCATTCTCAGATGGCTTTTGAATACTATGCTAATGACTATCTAAATAGATAAATATGTGGTTGGAAAACAAAGTCACCTTTTAGTTTTCTGCTTGTAAATCACTTGGAAATATTAAGAGAATCCTTGTAGACTGGAAACACACCAAGAGGCTGGGTAAAGCATGGAAGGTTCTAGTTAATAGAAAGTAATATTAAAATTGGAAATAAAATTAAATCAAGACCAGATAATTCTATGGAGACTTATTTATTAAAGAACTATTTCTGAGCATTTTTATGTGATTAGCATTACATTTTACCGAGTAACAGATACACAACAATAACAGTGCTATTTTTTTCTCCTTTTTATCTACCTACACCCGAAGTCCAAGCTAGCCTTATCAATTCTGAATTTTGTCTCCTAAAAATCAGCTCAATCTGTCTTTCTGTCTCATCAGCACTGACTCAGTCTAAGGGAGGAGACCACTCCTCATACTGTCTTATGCCCAATTTCTGCCTCCAAAGAAAGAAGTAGTAAAAACTAAAAGGCAGAAATGAAATCCACAGGCAGACAGCCCGGTGCCACGCCCTGGGCCTGGTAGTTAAAGATTGACCCCTGACCTAACCGGTTATGTTATCTATAGATTCCAGACATTGTATGCAAGAGCATTGTAAAAATCCCTGTCCTGTTCTGTTCCGTTCTGATTACCGGTGCATACAGCCCCCAGTCACGTACCCCCTGCTTGCTCAATCCATCACTACCCTCTCACGCTTAGAGTTGTGAGCCCTTAAAAGGGACAGGAATTGCTCACTCGGGAGCTTGGCTCTTGAGACAGGAGTCTTACCGATGCTCCTGGCCGAATAAACTGCTTCCTTCTTTAACTCTGTGTCTGAGGAGTTTTGTCTGCGACTTGTCCTGCTACACATCAGGCCCTCAGTGTTTCTCATCCAGACCACTCATACTTCTTCCTGAAGTATTGTGCAACTTTAATCTCTTTTACTTTTTCTCCTGGTGTATTTTCTACCCTGCCATCAAAGGTCATTTCTAAACTTCTTCAGATAATCCCATTCCAGGGTCCCCGTCACCCACAGTATTTATGACATTCAAAACTTTGCTACATATGGCCACTGGCTCTGTCTCTGAACTTATCATCCTCAATTTCCTGGCCCCCTCCTTACTTCCTAGCTTCTTCATTATGCTCCAGCAGTACTGAATTGCTTCTACGTTCTCCAGGATAATATCCTGCTATCTTATGCCCTTGGGCACATATTGTTTACTCTCCTTGGAATATTCTTCTCCCACCTTAACCAGCTGGAAATTCCTAACCTTCCTTGAAAAGTCACATTTCCTTATAACCTGATTTTTGAGAAAGTTAATCACTTTCTCCCATCTCTGCTACCTAGATACTCTGTGCCTATAGTTTTTCATATCACCTTGTGATGCAATTGTTAGATTACAAAGCTGTATCCACTGAAAGACTAGGTACTCCGAGAGGCAGCTACTGTTTCTTTTCTAGAACCCAGCACACTGCCCAGCAATTGCTTAAAAATCAAGAATGACTGGTAGAATTGAATTTTAAGAAGACAAGACTCAAAGATAGGGAGAAATTATCTAGGCCCTACATTGTATATGCAGTGCACTCCTGTTTAATCCTGATAGTAAATGGTAAGGAGGGGAGGAGGTGGTGCCAGTTAAGCATGAAATAGCTACAAATTAGAGCATACAGATGTGGCTTCATGGAAAGATTTGTGCTTGGACTTAATTTGAAAAAGAGGATGGAGGCAGGATTCTTTGAAGAAGGCACTGGAGTTTACCTTACTTTTATGATAATAATTATAACAATCAATTACCAAGT